AAGTAGATATGTACAAAAATTTTCCATTTAGATTGTGCCCAGATTAATGGCTTCCCCTTAAATCTTATACTTGATTTTGCCAATGTTATTTCAACTCCTGTGTACCAGAATAAAAATAAGTAATTTGAATATGTCAGCCTTACACTATGATTTTCTTACTTTTGCATAATTAAAGTTTCCTTTTGCATAAATAAAGCTAAACACAAATTCCATGAGCACTTATACAAACTTCTACTTGCATACAACTGGACCAGGATTAAACAATGCAGTAGAACCACATGTATTTGTGGATTTTTTTTTTTCTTGTCTATAAAAAAAATAGTACTGTACTAGTAGCAAGTAAAAGCACTACATGAGTATTGCAAGAAATACAATAATGCCTGCTGGCACAGAAATATATCTCTAGTGCTGTTTTGACAAAATGTCAAAATCTTCACTTGAAAAACAAATTGAATGTTTGTATATTGAGAATTAAGAGCATGCTATTATAAACTTGACAGAAACTCTCAACAGTCTGTTAAAAATAGAGGCAAAAATGACTATTTATTTAAAAGCCTGGTTGAGGTTTTGATTAAGGACTGCATATTTAAAATAATGACAAAATATCATATATAACAGTATTTATAAACTATATGTGTCCACAACCCAAAGTGGTCCAGCTTTTTTTTCTCCAGCATTCTTTGTTGAAGAAAAAAGGTGAAGCAATCCATAATGATCCAGTAGTACCTGGATCCTTTGTCATTATTTCTTCCTTACTCATTATTCAGTTTTCAAACTGAAATTTGAAATCATTGTTACTTTTAATCCCACCAAACTGAAGGAAAACATCCCAGGAGAACAAACATTATGAGAAAAGCAAAACCAGTACTGCACTTTGCCATTTCTTACTGTATCCAATTTAATTTCTTGTTTTACAAAATTTTCCATTGTTTTCCTTCCTTGTATAAATATATCCTCTAGATTTACTCTTCATTTATATTTACAAAAAAGAACAAACATTAGAATACCAGAAATGTACTGCAAATATAGCTGCATCTCTTTCCACACAGGTATTAGTGAAAAGTTGGCCTATATAATTTGTACTCTTTCACTTTTCCATCTCTAATTTATTGTTATGAAACACGATAAGAAAAAACTGTAAAAGTTGCTTTCCCTTTTGTAATACTAAATGTATTAGTAGTAGTTAAGTACTTAAGTAAAAAGTACTTAAGGAAAAAGAAGTTTAGTCTTTAAGAGCAAAATAGTGACCCGTGCCTGAGACCAAGTTTTGTTGGCTGGCATAGCCCTTGTGAGGTTTTTAATCTGCATTGTGAAGTATGTGAGTAATATGAAAGAAAACCCAAACCTTCCAGTAATATATTAAACACATTTATTACAGAAACCAAGGAAAATTAAAGAGATTGAATCTCAAGAACAATGTAAATCTCTCTTGTGAGAGACACTGTTTAATAAGTTATAAATACATCATCATATGAAATAGAAGGATAAATTCAACCTTCCTAACTGAATGAAAAAAAAATAAAAATTGCACAAATCAGGAATTTTTTATTACCAGCTGTGATGATGGAGTTAAAATATTACAAGAGAAAATTATTATGGCTTTAGAAAAGCCAAGGTTTTTTTTATATTAACTCCTAGAAATACATGTTATGAATTTATGTTACTCTATTATATTCTATTATGTTATGAATCTATGTTACTCTAAAAAGTTTTGAGCATCAGGGTAGGCACAGTGGATGGGGGCATAACTCCATCTCTCTTGGGTAAGTTTCAACACTGCCAAACAGCTGGAAACTAAGTACGAAAACATAAAAAGGACAGACATCCACACAGCACTAATTCATCCTCAGCCTCCAGTGATCTTGTGCATCAAGAATTTCTTGCTGTCTGTGTAAATTTAATATTTCAGCTGTTATATTTGAACTGGCATAAACTTTTTGCTTCCACAACATCCTGCAACAAAGGGCTACACAGCTTACCTACATGAAACATAAAGAAATACGGTTTTTGTTCACTTTGAACCTATTTCAATGAATTTGAATATTGGAAGGGAGAACAAATATTTGCTCATTTATCTACTTCTCTTTTATAATTTTAGTTATTATTACTTATCTTAAATACTACAGTTTAGACAAAAAAATCAGTAACTTTCTGATTACATCATAAGAAAAACACAGGCTTTTGTTCACAAGAAAATAACATTAATTTGTATATTTGATTTATGGATACAAATACTATAAACCTCTGGGCAATGAATGGTTTTGTCCTGACTGTGGTACAAGAAAGTTTAAAATCCTGAAAGTGAAGAGAAAGAAGAAACACTGAGCATGGAAAATCTCAGGTTTTTCTTCAATAATCCCTGCATATTCTGGATTGCATAGCAAAAACTTTAAAATTTAACTAGTAACTGAAGGAAACCATAAAAGGATTATTTTATATTTGGACAAGGAATTAAACTTATTTCAAGTGAAATTATCTGAGATTTCTGAGTCTGCAAAACACTACTAAAAATGTCACAAGAGCACATAATTACTTTCTCCCTTTCACATTTTTCTTACCAGACTCTTCTGTTTCACTTATTGGCATAAAATCATAGAAACCACCTATGTCTGTCAAATTATTCTGGTGCCTCTGTAAAGTCTGAAGGCTGTTCTGTGCTTGTCCTGGCATAGTTCATAACCACATGGATTACATGTTTTTTTTTAAATATAGAAGATGTCTAAGGATAGACAGCTGCAATTCGCAGCTGGAGCCCATCCTACTAAATGTGATGGCTCTGCACTGCTCCCCACCATCCCACATATGAAGCATTCCAGTTGTGGTAAAGAACCAGCAGCCTAACTTGAGTAGATTTGGCAAAACAGCCTACAGAAATTTATTAATTGTAGTAAAATATTGTGTAATTTGCTCTTTTGTTCTGTGTTTTTGACCCAGCTATGAATTTCTTTCTGTTGAATACACCTTCTGCTTGTCCCCACTCCCCCAGCATTCCCTTTCTACATGCTGATCCCTGTTTTCTTTGAGTCCAGCCTTGCTTTGTCTTCCCAGCAGACTGTGTAAGAGCTCAACTGAGGGTTAGTAATAAACTTCAGCAAGAAAAAAGTACAGCCATTTATACTGTCCAAGGAGAAATGGCAAGCACAGCACTGGATTCACTGACAGGTCCTTCCTTCCCTTCTACCAGCACTGAAGGTTTGTGAAGCAGCAAAAGATTCTTGCCTAATTTCTCCTTAGGAGGCCAGCACTGGTATGTCAGCCACTTTCAACTGCTTTCATACCAATGGAGAGGCTTTGGCATCCCAGATTTAAGACTGTTGTTACTGAACTCTAATTAGAAGTGTTCATCTCTCTCCAGTCAACACAGATGGAGCCTAAATGGGCTTGATCCTAACTTAAATGCATAAAGAAAAAAAAATGCATAAAGAAGAATGGAGATATTTGGCCATACTTCTGCTGTTTGCAACCACATTGATGGAGATGATTTTCATCAGCTCCTTCTAATAGAGTGGTCCACCTAATATGCAGGTCCACCTAAGAGTGCTTCTGCCTCTTATATCTCTTAAATATGTCTCTTATGCCTCTTAAATATGCACACTTACTATAGCTTTTAGGAAGTAAATGCTATAGTAAAGATCCATGACTTTAGAAAAATACATGCAAAGATTTTGCAAAAGATTGAGACACAGATGATAGAATGACCCAGTTTTAGTATCTTGATAACAACTAAAACTTTATCACCTCAGGGTTAAGAGGAATTTTATTGCTTCCAACTTAACTGCTTCCAACTTAAAAAGAAAAACAAACAAAATAACAAGAAAACAAAAGAAAAAAATTTTTAAAAAAAGTGAAAAGCAGGATAATTATGCAGGCATCAATATGCATCCATATCTAAATGCCACAGACCCAAAAAAAGCTCTCCTATATTTTAGAAAGATTCCTTTCTCAAATGCAGTGCACACACATGACCTTGTGTATATAAATGCATACACCTGCTGTATTTTCTTCCGTACTTAATTGCAGCAAATGTCTCAAAGAGACAACAGTGCATAACATTTTCTTCAGGTGCACACCCATGCAGAAAAGCAACAGAGGCCTAGCAAATTATAGTAAAACTTAGCATTGCATATGGAAGATCAGTCCCATCAAGTGCTTCAAGAGAACTAAAACCAACCTCATCCCAAAGAAGTCCGAAACAAAACCACCTGATACCAGTGACAAATCATAACTGCTCCTTCCTGTATTACTGAAAAACACATCCACAGCCTTGGACAGACTTCATACTTCAGCCATCTACTAATGACTGACATGATTTCTCTGTTAAAAAATGGATTTAAACTTTTTTTTTAATAATGAGAAAAGTATTTTTCACCCCTCATTTCCAAAAACAGCTGGAGCAGTTTGGCATACATGTTCAAAAAATATCTCAACTAGTAAAGGACTGCCGAATTCCACCAAGAAAGGTAAAATGACTAGGAAAAAGAATAAGCCACTGAAAATCTTTTCTTAAAATGGAAACACTTGTGCAATTTCAACTCTCCATTGAAAGCATTATTATGTCCTCTGAAACAAAGAACTCAAAAGCTCTCTTTTAAGTATAGAGTTGGGTTATGGTTTGAAGGCCTCTTGATTTCAGTCTTATTTAAGTCTTATTTAAGAAAAATCAAAGGGGTTTATCTTAACTAATACAGAGATTAAAAGCACCAGATTCTTGTTTATCATAAAGACTTATCCATTTCCTGCAATTTTTAACACAAACACTTTACAAATAAATACAAACAACTTGTATTCCAGATAAGCTTTAAAACTTCTACTTATCTTTTTTTTCCTTTAGCCTATATTCTGTTAAAATCTGTCCAAGATATGTCACAGGCTCAGGATTAAGAAATAATAATGAAAAAAAAAAATAAATCAACAACTACACCAAAAAAAAAAATCCAATTCAATCCCCTTTCAACTTACAAAAACGTGCCTCATAGGGACCATAAAATCCATGTAATTACCTGCTGCAGGATCTGTAACTGCTTGACTGGTGATGCCAGATGGTGGTTCTTGAAGCTGGTATGTTGCATTTGTGGAGGGTGTCGTGGGGCTGGTGTTGCTGTTTGTCATGTAATGTGAAGGATACGGTGAGCTATTATAATACTGTGCGTATTGGCCCTGGCCAAAACTGGGATAAGAGGGATATTCCTGCAAAACAAAAAAGCAACTGAATAGTCCATCAAAGTTTTGCTGCTTTTTAGTATAAATTCCAAAATATAACTACAAACATATGTCAGACTTTGAGCATGTATGCTTCCTGGACTGGATGCTGTAGGACCTAAAACTCTGAGGCAGTAAAACAAAGTCTAAATTACACATAATTTAGTATGTCTTCTCATACAATTAGTTTAGTAGGCACATTACTGAAGATGTGTGAATAAGAATGTCAACCTCAGACAATTAGTTCTAGTATGGAAGATGACAGATTGAAGGAAAACATTTATAAACTTTAGTTTAAAAATAAAGGATGACAATTTCTTTCAACAAGATATTTAAGGGCTGCATGTTTGTAGTGGATGAGAATTCTAAGTTTGACAAAGTTTGCAGAACTCATATTTACAAATTTACCTGCTGTGAACTATTAAATCCAGTAGAGTTTGTGAGTGAATTATTTCCTGCATATATTCCTGATGATGTTGTAAAACTGCTGCCTGAAATGAAATGAAAAATTATGTGAATTACTAAAACAAAGTATTGGAAAATAACTTCTATCACACGATTATATCATAACATTATGGCATATTTGTAATATTTCCCATATGTTGACAGATTCAGCTCTATATAACATGTTAATACATAGAAAGGGATAATTCATAGTTCTTACACTCTGTGTTTCATTATTGCATTAAACAAAAAACAAAACCTTGAAATGTAGACTGGAATTTTGGACCCACCTCAGCTCTGATTGAAAATTAGGTGTTTGTGCCCCTCTGAATAACAAATAACACCCTGCACTGTGGAAGCAATGAGTGTTTCTTTACACTCTTTACTTTTTTTTTATTATTATTTTTTCCTTTTAACAATAAGGGCAAGCCTTGTTCTGGGAGACACCGTCTCCCCTCATGAAAGCCTGGTGGCTCTGTTTCTCCTCCCACCTTTGAGAACTGTGTCCTCTCCCCTCCCTGAGCCTCAGCCCCTCACAGGAGAAGCAAAAGCCATAAGTCCCTGCTCTGAACAGCTCAGTCTGACTGCAAAGCCATTAGGCCTCACTGATCGATCAGATACAGCCTTGGGCTGCAAACCTTCCCTCTTTTGACAGAGTGTACCGGGCATGACACAAGAGAAAAAATGTACCTCTCTGAGAAGGGAGACCCAAGATGGAATTTAGCCCAGAGACTGAATTACTGCCTTCATCTCCCTCCTCCAGCTTTCATGAGTCACCAAAATAGACAGATGGGTCTCTCGTTTAATATCCAACCTGAGAAGCTGTTCCACTAAAAGGGCAGCCACCCCCTTTCAGCTGTTTTGCCTTGCTGGTTATAACCCAGGAGTGACACAGGCACCAGCTGAGACATATGGATGCACAGGGTGAAGCTACATAAGCCACCACAAAGTCTGTAATGAGGCAACCTCTTGAACTCGTCCAGCAGGAGAGCACCAAGCAGCGCAGGTTATTAAAGTGCACAGGTTGTTTACAGCCTCCCTCACCACCAAAATCTGCCTCAGTGCAAAGGTGTACAGAGACCTTGGGAGCAAAACTTGCAGGTGAGCAAAGGAGACAAGGAAGGATGAAAATCACCAGGGAGCCAGGCACACAGATGCACCAATCCTCCGATGTACCCGATACAATTCAATTAACAATCAAATCCAAGAAGAGGTTGCTCACTGGGAGAAGTGACATTTCTTGCAACTCCAAAGAGGACAGAATGCAGGCTGGAGTCCATACTTACTACAACCCCTGAAGGACATTTGTAAGCTATTTACTTTTCTTAAAAAAATACCATACCAATAGGTATTGTAGCTGTGAGAAGTCAGAAGGAAAAATATTTAAATGTTATGACTAAAATGTTACTAAAAGCACATACAAGCTAATCCCCAAAGAAGTAGAAAAGAAGTTCAACAGCAGTGGGAGTAAAGGATGAAGTTTAAACTTAACATATGAAATGACTGTAAACATTTCTTTCTTCTACTAGTGCAAAATCTCTGATTGTTGATAGATGCTACTAATCCTGTGAACTAAAATCAGATTACTTCAGCCGAAGACTTGACATCCAAGTTTAGCAGATAGTACAGATAAACAGTACAAATGAGAAAAACATGTTGTTTTAAATTTAATTTGAAATTGGAAAACAGATGTTATTTTTTTAATTGTAACAAACACGAAAGCCAAAATACAGCTGAAAAATATTTTAAATTGAAAAACTTTGTAATGATATTTTATTTCTAATAGTGCTCTGGCTGGAAGAATGTAAGTCACTGTGTCTCTTATTTCTGTAGGGTTTTTTTGAATGATGCAGTAATACATTCAAACCCAGGTTTTAAAGGCGCACAGTTTGAGCCACTCAAAAAAAATATAAAAGGCCCCTCATAGTTATAAGTAGAAAAAACTCCAGACTTTGTTTGAGGAATACATTACCTTTCCTCGGAAAGCTTGGAAAATAATTTGCAAGAGCAAATGATTAAAGTAATTACATGCCAGCCAGCATCTCTCCCTCTCAGACAAAGACACACACACACTCTAACACGCAGATCTCTTTCATCTCATGGTCAGCACTGGGTTCTATGGAGGAGGGGTAAGGGTCTCCTAGACCGTAACAAACATGAAGCAGGTTTCTCAAAAACAGCTCTGTGGGCCACCCAGAACTACAGGCCTGAAGTTGTTTTTAAAATACTCATGATTTTGCAAATTGTTTTTTTAAATATTCAGCCATAACATGGCATAGAGCCGCTATCCTGCCTTAGCTGAACAAACAGAAAAATGAGAATCACTACAAAACATGCGAGATTTACTGCCCTAAGTTGGCCGGCTACATGGCTTTAAAATGTGATAAAAGCTGTAAATTGCAGGTCAAAGGTCTATTTTGCAAAGAGCTCTGACCCACATTAAAGCTGGGAATCCCAGTCAGCATCGGAAGGCGGCCGGACCCTGCTGGGACTAGGGCGCGCTCCAGGCGTGGGGCACGCCCTGTGTCACCGCAGGCATGGGATAAGGTCCTCCCCCATGTATTGGCCACAGAAGCCCATTTGCTTTCCTAGCTCAGTCTCCTTGCCATGGGCTATGTCTATCATCAGGGTACAATGTATGTGGCAGAAGTTTAGTGCAGCTCTCTTGGGAAAGCTGTAGACGGCCAGATGGGCTATTTAAACTCAAGGTTTCTTCCGTTTGCTTATAGTGCTTAAAAATCCTTGGCAAACTCCCCCTTGTTGTCCTAGTAACTGCTTAGCCATCCAGCACAATATTTTTATACTGTATAATAATAACCAAATACCTTAACGTTTACTTTTTTACGGCTGAATTCCCAAACCAATCAGATAGTTATTCTCTATCATCACAGCCCTGGTAACTAAAACAAAGCTAGTGCTCATCACAGGTCTAGCACCCTTCCAGTGGTAGGGTAGTCAGGTGGAGGGTAAAAGCCATGCTTTTTATCACAATCAAAGGAGACTCAAATAAGACATTTGCAAATGGAGTTCTTCCCTTGCTGCTCCCCCCAGCCCTTCTCCACTCCATTTATCCTCACTCTGCAATCCTTATTAGTCTGCCAATATAGGAGCAACGGCCCATTCCCACAGCCATTAGTCATGTAAGTGGTCTTTCAACATCTATGAAGCAACTTATATGAAAAACAGCTTAAGGAACACACTTGTTAAATAAAGTAAAGGGTGGGGGAGGAGAGTGGCGAGATGGGTGGCAGAACCGCCTGCGTCTTCTTCTCACCCTCTCCCCTATGCTCCCTCCCTTACTGAGATTATAAATTTGTGACAAACAAAAATCCAATTACCAGAATAAACTTAGCAAAAGAGTCACAGGCAGCAATTCTCCCCATAATTTTCATAAGTTGGCAGCCTCTCTCCCCACTATTGTTCGGTGACTAATGGCGCTGTAATTTTAGCAGGGTCAGGAAAAGCACTGGGTTTAATTGGCTGCACACGCACCACGATGCAGCGTCTCTACATTGCAGGGAGACATTCATCCCAGGGAGAGGAACCAGAATTAACTCCAAAGCTCTGGAGTGCAAGGTAACCCCAGTCAGGGAACATGAGCAGGACAACTGCAAGGCCACTAGGAAATCCCCTTTGCTGCAGGCAAGAATGCCAGCAGGGCCCCCAGCGCACTGTCATGTAATGCTCCGTGGTGAAGTAGGTTGTGGGATCCATTATCTCCATTTAGCAGCTCAGCAGCTGCACGCAGGAGATGGAGAATAGCTATTGCAGGCTATGACAAGGCAGAGGCTGCAGCCTGCCCATATACTGCTAGAGAGAAAAGGGAGAATAAACTCATTTTCCTCTCTGGAGGTCTCTGCACAAACAACTGAACAGCAGCAGCACTAACCCCGTCTTCTGTCATAAGAATCAATTTTGTCCTTAAATAATAGTTGAAACTATGAATAGGTTCTCCTTCCAAAATTAAATTAGGAAAGGGAAACAAATGTTCCTGTTTACTTTTAACAGCTGTTAATTCTTCCTTTCAATCAAAAGGAAGAATTAAGTCAATTTTGAGTTGTTTCAAATACAAAAGTTTACTTAATTAAAATATTACAAAGACATATATTCTCAAGTATAGTATAGACATATATTGTCAAACATTTAACAGCATGGAAGACCTGCTCAGCAATGTGATTCTTCTCTACTTAGCAACTAACAATTCCACCAGCCCTTTCATTTGAAATATTCTCCTTATTTCCATTCTTACAGTCTCTAAGGTTTCTGTAGAAGACCAGTCCTTCCCTCACCCACACATTGTGCTGCTTATGAGAACAACAGGAAGGACGTACACACCACAGGGACCTTCCAACTCGTGGCTCTTCTGCCCAAGCCAGACTGTCAGTGATCCACTGACTCCCACAGGTGGGCAGCTCTCAGCCCAAGCACAGCACAGCTAGAGCAGAACGCAGGCTCTAGCCTGCAAGGGAGGAGATCCCCTCCTCCCTAAGCCCTGCAGACAATTCCATAATTAAATCAATGCTTCTGATCCTTTTCTTATTAGAGCTTTACAACTGGGTCATCTTTAACATATTTCTTTTTGCAGAATATTTTAAGATCCTTGCCTCTCAAAGTATACAGCTGAAATACTTTCTGAGACCTTACTATTCAATCTCTTGACAACTGTCACTCTTTGCTGAACAATTCTGATCTTATACAAATTTTGCATATAACAAAAAAAAAAAGGCAATACCCATTATGGCAGACTCTGTGCAGTCTATTGACAGAGTCCTAGCTTTGCACTACTAATGCCAGCATTCACATTACTTACAGCATTCACTTAAAATTTTCCAAGCACTCTCTACGTTATCCTATGCTGCTCCCTCTTCCCTCCCTCTATTGAATGAGTTTCCCATAGACATCTGCAAAACTATTTCCCTGTCCTGCCTAAAATCCCTTTTTATTGACATCCCTCCACTCAGTATCTTACAAAAAAACACCTTTAGAGCCCTTAGATAACCAGTATGGGATGCCAACTGTTTATTACACTTAAATAGTGTCAGCTTTATTGTTTCATTAGGCTCTTCTAGCCTGTGTGTTTAATTTTAGCTTCCAACTTCTATGGGGCACTATATTTTTATTTGCCTGTAGAAGCTAACACAACAGCATCCCAGTATATGACTGTGGCATGAAGGCACTACTGCAATAGAAATTATAGGCAGCACAGACATGATTTTTCAATAACACTACTTCCTAGCAACTGTGAATTATCAGTTCCTTAAAAGCTGAAAAGACGATTTCAGAAGTTAATTTTAGCCACTGCTAGCAAGTATTTTGAGCTCTCTCCTACAGAGAAGTAGGATTTTTTGTAGGGGGGAGATGGGTGTGGAGGTGTGTTTGTTGTCTGAGGTTTTTTTGTGTAGCTGCCTGCAGAAAGCAAAACCAGTGACCTTGCTTGGTTGTATTCACTCTGATGTGGAGAAGATCATCACTATTCAGCATGCAGATGAAAATCCATCTGCTTCTCTGGTCCTGTCCCTCTTGTTTGTCAGAGCACACTATAAGTCAGCAATATTTCAGATGTCAGATGGTCACTTCTGCCCTATGGCACTACGCAACACGCAGTTCAAAAGAAGATTAAAAAAAATGCAACAAAAAACATCTCTCTTGTGCCTGAGCAGGACTGGATCAATATATCTTTAAAGCTGTGGAACAAAAGCAAAATCTTATCCACTTAGTCTCTGAAAGTACTTCTGCCTCAAGACATTTCATGGAGTGTTTACTTGGTGGCACACAGTTTAGACTGAGCTTGATAATATAAAAAGGAGCTAAACTTATAAAAAAATGTGTTCCATTTCTGTGATTGATGACTTATTTCAATAATTCCAAAATCTGCAACACACCTGATGTCTACTGCCAAATTCAGAGGTGAAAAGGCCTGCAGCAGACATCCCAAATTAGCTGTTTCTGGTAAACAAAGATTTTTTAAAATATCCATTAAGTGGTGAACAATCCAGAGCCAGTGGCTTCTCAATACAGAAAAGGGAAAAGGAATTGGGAGAAGAAGGTGGAAAGACTTTAAGTAAACTAAACAGGCAACTACAGCTACAAAATATAATTGATAATAATAGCCTGCACATACAAAGACTTACAGCTTTTAAATAGACATCAAAGAAACAGACTTCAATCATTACTTAGCTACCTCCACAGCTGCAGTAGGTATTTTTATCTTCTCCCTCTTCGAACACACTCAGGTGTCAAATTATATTTGGCACTTCCTAAATTCATAATCCTGTCACGTTTTACAGGACTAGCTTTGTCTCATTCACTATTTGCTAAACTACTGCTATTCAGGGATGCATTTTTTACTGTAATAACACTAGAACACTATTTAAAATTAAATGAAGGAAGGGATCTTCCAGACTGCTGAGAGCTAACCTGTTGCTCTCTCATCAAAGACAGTCATCATTTCATCTCCAACTGCAATAAAATCAGAGTTAAATGCTCCAGCAAACATTCATTTTCATTCTATTTAGCAAAATTTAGCAAAATAAGGAGGAAAAACTCCCACAACAGCAGTAGCTATATCGAATTAATGGTAATATCTGTTTATACAGACCTTGCATCTGGTAGCTATAGGGAGCTTGTCCAGGTTGAGGTGTGCTAAAGCTGGCTCCGTAGCTTAGAAATCCTGTCTGTCCAGGTGACTGTGACTGTGCCAATCCACCTTCTGTCTTGATGCCTGCCCACAATGCACCTAAATCAGTTAGTGACAGCAAAACTATTTGTTCATATTCAAACACGGATGGAAAATAAAATCACTTAATTAACAGCCATTTTAACATACACCTACTATTGCCTGAGAGAATGAATATTAAGAGCATGCACAAATTAATAGGGTAGGAGCAGTCTAAAAGCACACTGAAAACTGAAGTTCACCAGGGAGAGGTTAAATTCAAAACTGTGTTTCCAATAACTGCAAAAGAAATTTATACATGAACAGGAAGTTGCATTATTCCTTTTTTCCTTTCCTGCCAGAGGCAAACTTTTCCATATATTCATGACATTACACAGAGGTAGATTAGCAACTTTATATGAATTTAATGAAGCATAGCATAGCCAAGCTCTCCTACCATCTACCCATTAACGACATAACTGAGAATTGCACTGTATATCATTCCTGTATGAAAATTACACAGGTCCAAGAATGTTTTTTTAAAGAATTAGAAGTGGATAAAGGGAACTAGCAGTATTAAGTGCAATTATGATTTTTCAAAGGTAATTAAACACTAATTCAGTTCTTAACAAATAAGCATCTAAGAGGCAGGAACTATTCCTGAAGCAATCTCTTGAACTGGGAAAAACATAGCAGAGTCATTAATCTGCACTGACAGAGAAATCCATTACACACCACATTACTCTCTCATTTCTAAATTTAGCTATAAAAGAATCCAAAGTCTGATCAATGAATGACTTGCTGCCCAGTTTCTGTGATTCTTCCCTCAATTTGTAAGGCAATAAGCAAGCAAATATCAGCAAGCAAAATACTGAGGAAATGCACACAATTCAGCTTCTGTCTCTTAGTTTTAATTATAAGGTTGTCCCAACATGAACTACCATTTAAAAATAATTATAGCCAAAGTAATGGAAAAGTGATACAATATTCTTAGGTTTCACTGTGGCATTCCATGATACCTCATTGTTCAGAAACCAATATTTGAACTGAATTAACTAAGTGTGAATTACTAACATTCCTTTGAAAATTACTGCTAATCTAAATCCATTTAATAGTTGGATTTTTCTTTAGACAATATTCAACAATGTTTCAAGGTAGGAGAGGTCTCAGAAGTTACTGTGTTGGCAAAACTTCAATACCTCCCTATATACAAATGGCAGCATATTTTCCAACGTCTAAGTAATTCTTTCTCAACTGTTGTCATTAATTAACCTTCATTCCTTCTGCCAGACCTTCTAACTGCCGAGCTAAACCTGTTTGCTTGTTTTTCCCTGATGCTTACTTGATTCTTCTGTTTCATGTTACAATTAAGCAGTTCGAATGACAAATCTTGACACCTCATTTCCAAGGGGAAACTCCTGCTATGGATGGTTTGGTATCAACAATCCCTATTTGTTGTCTGTTTAAGGGCTTCTGAAATGCTGATTAAATACAGCTTAGAGAAAGTTTAACTAAATCAATTAAGCATTAAATTTCTAGTCTAAATTTCCTTTAACAGCCTGATCCAACTGTCCATCTCAGACAGAGCAGGAGGAGACGATCAAAAGCAGGAGGAGGAGGATGCCACTCGAGTGAAGACAACTTGGCACTGACACACCCTTTTGCAAACCTCCATGCTATGAAGAGCCTTTCATCTCCTGGGACTTACCCTCACGCTTGCTCTCATCCAAAAAGCCTTCACTCATCAAACCTTGGTGCTCCCTTCCCCCAAGTCTAATGTACTCAAGGAAGTGGGAAGGGACAGTGACACAAGAGGACTGCCAGGATCTTCAAAGTAAAGAAGTTGGTAAGCAAAGCCTTTGCTAGATGCTGGTGCTGGAGCAGGCAGGAGGAAAGATCTCCAGGAAATTCTCCAGCCTCCTCAGGGGCTTTACAGATGAAGCAGAGCCAGGAGCCCCAGGGCAACAGCTGTCAATGGCATTCCCCTCCACCCCCCTTCCTGCCTGCATGGCTGTGGAGGTGGGGAACTGGAAAAATGAAGAGGCTAGTGGTACAGTTGAGACAGCACCTTCCTAAACTCTACTCTAGAGAGAAAACTTGAGACAGGCTGATACAGGAACTCATGAATACTCTTTCTTCCAGCAGACCCAGAGTAAAGAAACAAAGAGGCCTCAACTCAGTTTTTCCTTTCACATAGGCGTAAGTCTTCTCCCTTTATCCTGCTGTAAGGTTTCTGCCTGGGTGAAAGAAAGGCAAGACAGAGGGTATATGGGGTCTAAACTGTAGACCAAAGAGCAGAATTTTGGCTCTAAGCAAAGCTTCAGTTCTTGCCTATTGCAAATTAGTACCCAATTTCATTTGGGAGCAAATATTATATGGTATGCCTTAAATACGCAAAAATATATGTTAAATCCCAAAACTTTTAATAGTTATTTGCTTTTAAATATTACTTCTTTAAAGTACATCAGCAAGGAGCACCTTAGCACCAGCCACATGTCACAAGTCTGAAAGGAACAAAACATGTCAAAATTCTCTTGGCTCAGGAGCTGAGGATTTCAGTGGTCAAAAGTAGCTCTGCAATGTAAAACATTGCAAATTTATCTGAAGTCCTAGGCACGGGGGATGGACTAGGCAAAAAACCAAACCATAACAAAAGAGCAGGCAAGCATGTTAACCCCTACAAGCAGTTGCCAAGTAAAGCAACTCTCAATTACAGCTCTGATGACAGTGAGACAGCTAAACTCAAGCAGTGAAATCAAGGCCTGGCTGAAGTCAGTGGGAATTTTAGAGTTGACTTCAGCGAGACCAAGATTTAATCCAGGGAAACCAAGCAAAAACCAAAAAAGTCATTGTTTGGGCTGCCCAAGCCTAGTCTGACAGTCAGCTAAATGTGAATACGAGGTGTCCACAGGAGAAACAGGTCAACAAAAACAGGGTGGGGAAAAGGATTGTCTGTCATCATCCCACCTGATCCAGATGGAATTAGCAGACAAGCTTTCATCAGCAACAGGAGCTCCTCTGTGTGTGTATGTGTGCATGTGTCCAAGATTCCCCATCTCACAGTGTAAGTTTAAAACATGTGCATTCAAACTGAAACATCCAATTTATACTTAAAAGCCTATTATAAAGCAAGGGGAAATAATAATATTGTTCTTTTATCTACTGTTCACCATAATCTGCCATAGGATATCTTTGAGATCCAGTGGATTTTCAACTTGCAGACTTCAAAATGAAAGATTCGCTCGTTTTGCACTTAAAACTTTTAACAATTTTAAAGTGAACAGCTTGTATGGTAAGTTCTGTCCTTTTGGTATAAAACTTAAATTATCTGAACATATTTTTACAAAATATACTGCTCAAAGCATGTGGATTGTATATTTTTAATATATTCCTCCAGAGGAATATAAGACCTATTTTCTAATAATGCATCCTTGCTGCTGCACTGCTACATGGTCTGCCAGCAGACAGTCTGGCAGGAAAATGGTCTCACCCATGGCAGCTTGTTTTTAAATTAAATTTTTTGGGAAATATTTGCTACTTAGTACTATCTTTGTCATCAGGCAGACAGAGCTTTACTGGCAATTTACCTCAATTTTCACCTCCAGGGAGTTTTAAAACATTGGAAAGTGAGGGGGTTTTTTTTGATGGAGGCATTTTTGAATCAGTTTTTCTGCCTGCTGAAAATCAGCACAGCCTCACAGATTCATCTGGGTTCTAGTAATCTGTATCAGCTGAAATTCAGACTTTTACATCCCAATGTAACCTCACGCACTGCTGGGGAGCAGAGACCTGAGCAGGTCACCAGGAGCTGGACCTGTGTCATGGAAGCCCTGAGATCTCTTTTCCCATTTCCCTGCTGTATTTTTTGATTTCACCCACAAAAAGCTAATGAACCTCTCCTCCTGATCCCAAAATGGGTTAATCTTGAGCAGCTTTTTAGCTCTTTAATACATAAAGTAAGCATCACTCATTCCAAGGTGGGAAAATTAACAGTCCTCCACAAGAAATGCCCCAGAGCACAGCTGTCCTACTAAGTACTAACCCAAGGGTCACACAATCTTGATCTAAAAAACCATTTACCTCAGGAATGAACTATCATGGCTGTGATTTCTTACCATAGGAAGGGATTCCGTAGGGTTGGCCGGGCTGGGGGTAAGTGGCATAGGCTGTAGCTTGTTGCATTCCCGTTGTAAACTGTGTCTGCCCATACGCAGCCATCGTTTGTGAAGATGGGGTAGGAAGAATATGTGGGTAGGGTCTGCTATTGATTACAAATGACAGAAAACAGGACAGACACTGCATTAGACAGACATGTGTGTACTCATTTTTAGCCTTATTATAATCCTGCTGCTTCATTAACACATAATGATAGGCTGTGCTAGACAACAGAAACTTTAAGAGACAAAACAGTAAGAAATCAGAAATAAAATAATAAGTGAAATAAGAACTTTACAAATACTTTTCAAATACATTCTTAGCATTTAAAAAAAAAAATAGTTTTTCCCTAGAAGCTGCTGCGGTTTAAATTATGGCTTAACAGATGGACTCAATTATTATTTTAAATGAGGTTAAAATCTGCCTATTCCAGTTATTATTATTACTACTACTATTATTATTTTAAAAAGATATCATACTTGGAAGGGTAAATCTGTGGTGGGGAGAACTGGTGTGTTTGTCTTGGGCTGAAACCACTGCTTCCAATTGCTGCACCAAGGAGAAAAGAAAGCATACAGAAGTGTAAATACACACACCAAAGATAAATATTATTTTTCCTAATAGAATTTCAGAGTATTAACAAGATTTTAATTAAATTCAAATATCATTGATACCTTAGATAGAAAATAATATTTTATGAGGATCTATACAGGAATGCTCAACATTAAAATCTTGATTGCAAATCTCAAACACTAAATTGCCCCTCTGTACAATTCCTGAGCCGTAGTTTATTCTTTGTTTGCACAGAGGCAACATTTTCTATACAAACAACCTATTTCCTAATGGAAACATTTCCCTTCATATTTTCAAAGAATTGTTGATATCTCAAGTGCAACATTTTATTAACTTTTAGAATTTTTAAGACCTACATTTTATGAAGGAGCTTTATGCCTGCCTCGATTGAAAACATATGGCCTGCTTCAGAGCACGCGCCTCTTTTTAAAAAAAAGATAAAAAAATCGTAATACAGACTATGTATTACCTTATTACGTTTCTATTTTCCATCTTATCTGCTGTCTAAGAAGCCCTTCAAATCAGTATTGCATAAGGATGTCCAAGGTGCAGTTAGTGAAACGTGTAAGCGGAGGAGGCTGTGCTGTGAGCCGCTCCCCGAGCAGCCCCAGCAGCGCTGCTGTGCGGAGCCCCCACCAACACAGCTCATTTCTGTCAGCATTTCTGGGTGCTGCCCGGCAGCTCTGCTGGCCCACTCTGCTCGGGGCGATATTTCTGGGAGCCCTTCCCTCTCTGGTTACTGTCTGGGTGTCACTTCTCCTCTAGGTCCCAAGGTGGGCAGGAAGCCTTTGCCAGGAAGAGGTCAGCAGCGGGTTATGAGACTACTGTAAAATCAGACAGCCCGAGAAACAACAGGCCTTATTGCTAAGTACTTGGAAATAAACTAGGCACGCTTAATTACCCCTCGCCAGCTACCCCCTTCCTGGCCAGCTACAGGGAAAATCCATCATCTTTACACTCTGGGAGGGAGGCAGGGAGCCTCTTTCTGTGCTTTCTACACCAAATAATTTTTCTTTTCTGTGGCCTGTGAGGCTGCAGACATGGCAAATGTTACAGTCCAACCTTTATTCAGATCACCACAGCTGTACGTAGCTTTTTATGTTGTTTGTATTAGGTACACACTGTATTTTCTTCTTTCAGAGAATTATAATACATTAGAAATCTTTTTTGGGGCTTTCATACCCAACAGCCTGTGCAGAAAATGGAGGCTGTGACAAGATCAGGAAAGGGCTGGCTACTAGGAATCTGACTGGTTGTGAGATGTCAAATTTTTCTACTATGGAAATGTAATCCCACAATATATTATTAGATCCTTTTCTGATTTGATTTGCACCATAAAACCAATGTGCTAGAAATACCACAGTTAGTCCACAGGTGTGCAAAACTGAGCAAACACCTTAGGTTGTTCTCACAGTATTTGTCTGTATGTCTGTAGTCATGTCTGTGTCACAGTATTCTGCATGTCAGAAGCTAAGAGGAATTTGGCTTCCTCTAAGAAAAGAAGCCTGACAAAAGAATGAATACTTTGGAAAAATAAATTACAATAAGTGAGGAAGACCTACCCCTCAATTAGAATAATAATCACAGAGGCATGTGTGTTTACTCACAGAAAACAAAAATTACTCTGGGTCAGAATACTCCTGAGTGAGACTCCCACCAAAGACACCAATGGACATTAATAAGCCTGATACTGTAATGCTCCTTACTTGGGGAAAACTCCTGTTGACTCAGACTAAAATGAACAGAAATAGGCATAAGCTGGAAAGTACAAAAGGCTTTTTAAGAGAGATGCACAAGTTTAGACCACGTGGGATAAGAAAACAATAAAAGAAAAAAAATGCTGAGCTTAAAACTTTTGTTTATTCCTTACCTGATCCTGAGAAATTGTCTAAAGACCCGTCTGTGGTAGTAGTAGTAGCGATCTCACTGCTGTTCATTGGTTCTGTTTTAACTATAGAAATATAAACAGAAGATATTCTATATGCTCCTAATATTCTTGCAGGCGCATGCACACACGCTCACTACAAACACAAACTCAATAAAACAAAAATCTGACAAAAATGTTCTAAATCATGGCTATCAATATTTTGCATTTTATGTATTTGTGTATACAAACAATGCAAAATACTGGCAGCTATGATTTACACACGAATATAAGATGGTCAAGAGGGTTATTCCTGTCTCCAAGGAATAAGGGCCACTGTAACAAACCAGAAGTCCCCATGCAACTCTCTGCACCTGTCCTGATTCCTCTTAATCCTGCAGACCCAACAATAAGGATCCACATTTAGATCAGGTCACACAGTATTTACAGACTTGAAAGACAGCAAATTGAGTAAGACAAAAGAGGAAATGATTTTTAAATGGTTTTCGCTGAGGGCTGTTCAAATTTTGTTTCCAATTAAGTAATTTTTCAGAGGAAAATTAATTTGTGATGAAGTAAAACACTTTTCTCGTGGTGGATTTCTCCTCTCAAGATGAAAACCAACTTTATAGTCAACAACCCTGAATAAAAAAAGACGACACAGTCCTCACCAAATACTTCAAAGAATGCTTTTGCATCTTATCCCTCTGCACCCACAACATAACGCAGCTGTCTGAGAGTAAAAAAGAAAGAGACCAAGACATTATTGCCTGGCTCATGCTGATTCATAATTAATAATCAATTAATGACTTTTAATAAAACCTCAAGTAAATAAACAATTTCCCTTTCTGTCAGTCCAGTGCAAAGTCTGTAATACTAAGATCAGAGCAGTATCCTGATCCAAAGAGCAAAGACAGGGCTGACTTGGCATGTATGCAAAATAGGCACCAACAGCTACTCCCTATATAGTTTGTCCATACATGTATGTTCAGGAATTACAACCACTATCTGAAACCTTTGGTACCAAGTTTGGAAAGGGTGAGGCAGAGGCAGAGAAAGACCTTTCCTTTCATTGCCAGTCCACGTTCCTATTTCTCCATGTCTATTTCCTTCACCAAGCCTCCTCTGTGGGATTTGTAAGAAATCTCACAAGATTTTTCTAATCATCCATTCTTTTCTCTGGACTCATGCAGGATTTCTGTCTGCTAACTTGTGAGGTCAACGCTTAGCTGCACACAAAACTCTGCTGTGTCTGCATTAACAAGCAATGCACTCCATTTAGGAAAGTTTCATGAAGTGAAATGGTTGGGGTAAAGGGCCCAGTGTCCAGAGGCTGGGCATTTTTGAGAGCAGTTATTCAGCTTGAAAACATTAGCTGCACTTCTGCAAAGCAGCTTTTTTGAAGTAAGTGAAGTCCAAGAGACTCCCTAAAGGGATTTAATGTGGTAAGAAAAGGTGGCCATGAGGTTCACTCCAAAAGTGAGCTCATGATCTGAACCATAACTCAAATACAAAGGTATTTCTTAAAAACACAGCATGTAAGTTATTCACCATCGATTTAATGACTAAATACTGTCTAACACACAGATCCAATGAAATATTTACTGCAAAGTGTCTATCACAAGTACTTTTTCAGAAACTAACAGACTTTTACAGCATGTTCTATAGTTTGTCAATCTAGATATGAAAAATTATAGCATCTACCTTATCTTCTGCTTTTTCTTAGAAAGTTATCATGGCTACATTTTACAGTCAGACTCATACTTCTCTCATAGACTACTCCAAGTTTCCCAAAAATCTGGAAGTCTTCCAAACCTAATTTCCATAATGCAATTATACATTTGGGAATAACAATAAAAGATGCTTTCCTCTATAGCTGGTGTCTGTGGTATGGGAAAAGAGAGGAAGATAAGACAGATGAGCCTAACCTGGAGTAAAGGATGGAAGTTTGCAGTATGTGCTTTCTCAAAATTCTTCCTCTACTCTGTTGGAGAAACAATATTCCATATTCTGTTTTTGGATCACTGCAAATTAGAAGTCTGAGGACTACACTGAACTGCTTCACACAACATAGAGAAGTATAGTGTCAACTGTTCTAGATAAAAAGCAGCTCTTCTGAAAAGGACTTGGGATTTCTGGTGGATGAGAAGTCAGGTGAGAGCTGGAAATGTTCATTTGCAGCCCAGGAAGCCAAACTGCATCCTGGGCTGCATCAAAAGCAGCGTGGCCAGCAGGGTAAGGGAGGGGATTCTGCCCCCTGCTCTGCTCTCTGAGACACTGCCAGGAGTGCTGAATCCTGTGCAGGAAGGACATGGACCTGTTGGAACAAGTCCAGAGGAAAGACACCAAGATGATTAGAGGGGTGGAGCACCACCCCTGCAAGGAAAGGCTATGAGATTTGGGACTGTTGAGCCTAGGAAAGGTTTTGGGGTGACTTAATTGTGGCTTTCCAGTACCTGAAGGGAGCCCACAAGAAAAATGGAGAAGGACCTTTTACAAGAACATGTAGTGTCAGCAAAAGGGAGAATGGATACAAAGGAAAAGATAGAAGGTTTAAATTAGATATCAGGAAGAAATTCTTTATTCTGAGGGTGGTGAGGCACAGGAACAGGTTCCCCAGAGGAACTGTGGCTGCCCCAAACTTGAAATGTTTAAGGACAGGTTGGATGAGCCTCTGAGCACCTATCTGAATCCTTGCTCAAGATAGCATTTTCAGAAAAACATCTGAATATAATTTCTGTCTCTACTTCTGTGCAACATAGCTTAAAACTAAATGCTGTTTACTACACACACTACTTTTGGAGATACAGGAAGACATATGAAATACAATGAGTCCTCATAGGAAGGAATTCTAGCTGCTGACTGAAGTGCTTAACAAATTTTCACTAAAAACTTTGTCTTCTCTGTCACCTGTTTTATCCTCTGAATATAAAAAAACCCCAGGATATAAGAAAGGATGTTCCCATTCTTCCTGGATCCCTGGATCTGAATACCCATTACTTATGTGATAATATACATGCCCTAGAACGGTGTCTTTAGAAACAACCACAACCTTAATAAACCTTTATGTCACAGTTAGATGGGAATTTAATAAAGACAAACAGGTACTGAAAAACTCTCCATTCCCCAAACACTTTAATCAAAATGTCTGAAAATTACGGCATATTTCCTTCTATCAGCCTAAGCACATTTAAGAGGATGAAAGAGGATGAAATCTTGCTATACAAAGAAATAAACTGAGAAGAATAGCCATGGGTTTACCTGCTGGAAATATTTACATGTACTCTTACTGCAAAGGAAGTTGTCCAAGGCACAACTGACCTGCAATAGGATATTCTTCACCCTGGAATCACAGGGAAAGAGAACTGCAAAGGGACTGCCCAAGAATACAAGTTTCCCAATCTATCCCTGCAGCACATGAGTCATCCATATCTATGATGAGAGACATATGGAGCTGTCCAAAGAAGCTGGAAGGGCACAGATCTGGCCCTGCCACATGCTGCTTACGGGTGCTCTGGATTTCAGCTCTTCACATTTTCCAGGACAATTAACATTTCTGCAACATGTCCTAAGCTTTGACGAGATGACACTGGGAAATGAGTGGGAATAGTGCCACATCTAGACAACACACATTGCAAGCTTGCCACTAACAGGCAACACCACGCTCAGTTGTGGCAGAGACCATGGAAAGTGACACAGGAAAATTCCAAAGTTCCCATTTCTGCTGCTCCTTTATCCAAACTGACACTTACAGAGGTTCAGAATCATCAGACTTGAATTCTAGAGACAGACTTTGATTTGTATGTATGTAATGTATGACTAAGTTCTAGTGCCACCCAAACCACTCAAGTAACAGATTATCAATAGAAGTTCAAGAAGCAGACTAATGTCTTCTTAATCTGCTGTAAAAAGTCAGTGTTTATTTAGAACTAGTGATTTAGATTTGGTTTATATATCAAGGAGCTTAAGAAACTATGTCAACAAAGAGATATTTTTTTCTCATTTTTTTTTTCTAATCATTTGTGAGATTCTGAAAAAACTTAAAAAGAAACTGTGCAAGAAAATACACAGAACAGTGGAAAAAATAGGAGGAGCAGATAATAGCACAAATGTTAGCTTGGAGAAAAAAACCAAAAAAATTTAGAGATAACACAACTGCTGATCTAATGTTTAATAGATTGTTAAGATTTTTCTTCTAAAGGAACTCAGAGACTGCAAGTGCAAGTCTCTGTCAGCTGTATAGCAAAAGGTGGTTAAAAAAATGACTTACATGGCAGTTTCTGAACTCTATTGAGAGAGAGAACTTCAGACCAGAACCCACAAGTTCATGTGGTTCATTGGCCAAGTAACAACTTTCTGAGTTCACAGCTTGTCATGCAGTTCCTGGTATATACATCAGTAAAGAGTGTTCCCAGGAATAAGATGCTGGCCATTATAAATGTGGATTTTTAGACATTATATTTGGCTACTCCTAAAACAGAAATTGTAGGAATAACTCATAAAGATTTGCACCTTCAAGCATGCAAAAAACTAAGGTTTTAAAATAGCTTTTAAAAATTGCTCTTATTACATTAAATATATACAAGTATTTATATATGTTCCTTGCTCTGCTGAACTCATCTTTGTTAACAGCTATGCCATATACATTAAATCAGCATAGAAATATTGCAAACATGCCTGACATTAAATTGATTTTAATTTTGCACTTTTAAGATTGAATAGTGTTAACTATGACATTATATTCTTTGTATTGTACAAAAAGTGGGAAAAATGAAATTATTCCTGGCTGACAGCTCTCAGTGCTCATGGGCTACGAGAGACTCAACAAAGTGTGGTGGTTACTTTGTTTATAGGCATACATAAAAACACAATCTCTTGCCCGATTTTGGCTGGTCTTATCTTCAAATAATAGTAGTAACTAAACACCATGAAAATCCTGATTAAGTACTTTGTATCAATTGTTGTTCACATGCTATTTTGCTTGACACCATCCTCTTCCTGTACTCACTACAGAAGCCTAAAGTTCACCTGGAAGCATAAAAATAATTTTTACTAACAACAAGACAAAAATTCTACCTTGAAGCTCT